TCTGTAGTGAGTGAGAGACCAAGCAGATTCCTAGTCAACTTAGCTGACAACTTTAACATCCAAAAGGTAGAGGAGAGAACTAGAAATAAAGCTATACTGTACCTAATTCTTACTAATAGAGAAGTGATAGAGGGAGTTGAAGTTGCCAAAACTTGGGTTAGAGTGACCAAGTCATACTGGAATTCAAGCAATAGAAAATAATCCAACCAGTGTCTTAAATTGTCAACTATCCTGACATTGATTTTAATAAACTCAGAGAGAGCCTTGGAAAGATTCCATGGATGAAAATTCTAAAGGGGAAAACAACTCAAGAAGCACAGGAAATTCTGAAAAATGTGATCATAAAGGTCCAGTCCAGCACAATACCGACTGGGCAGAGATACTGCTGTTTGCTGAGGTGGCATACAACAATACGGTGCACAGTAGTACAGGGCTGACCCCATTTCAGATCACTAGTGACATGGAGTTTGTCCCCATGCCTGAGCTCCCCCGGGAGTGCCCCTCCTCAATGTCACTAGCAGATTGGATGGATTCATTGAAAACAGCGTGGAAAAATACCAAACAAGCCCTATGGGAGGCGGCGGAAGCATATAAGGCCCAAGCTGACAAACGCCGCTGTCCCCAACCACAGTTTAAGGTGGGGGATAAGGTCTACTTGTCCACAAAGTATCTGAAATTGAAATTAGCCACTAAGAAGCTCGGTCCGAAGTTTGTGGGACCTTTTTCTATAGTGAAAGTTATTAACCCGGTCACTGTGCAACTTAAACTCCCTCTATTGCTAGGGAAAGTGCATCCGATTTTCCATAGCGGTTTATTAAAGCCTGTCGTGGGCTCTCAAATCAGACCAATAGTTAGGATACCACCCAAGCCACTAGTAGTTGAAGGCCACACACATTACAAGATAAAGAAAATTCTAAACTCAAGGGTACACCGGGTTCAGTTGGAGTATCTAGTGCACTGGAAAGGATATCCTCTTGCTGAAGCCACCTGGGTGAAGAGTTGGAAGGTAAAAGTACATAGGCTGATGAAATGGTTCCATGAGGAGTATGCCCAAAAGTCGAAGGGTCCTCCTGAGGGAGGGAAAGGGGGTTAGGAATCCTCAACTAACCTCATGGTACGTCCTGTTACCTCACAAAATGTCCCCATCAACTGAGGGAGGTCAGCCTGTCAGGCTCGTAGCTGGATTTCGGGCTGACACAGTGTGGAGATGAAGGGGGGGGGGGTAATAGAGGGAATTTGGTAGACAACATAGAACAGCTGAGTCAGAGGCATTCCAATGGCTGGCTGGCCCCAGAAGGAGGAGAGAGTTGTAACCAGGCAACCAGTTAGTATCCAAATTGGACAATTTGATTTATTGTTTTGAGAAGACTGGAAACTTTTTTCTTTTAAGGTTGTGAAAAGCCCAGGAAGATTCAAGAACTGGCTTTTCCCTGTTTGCACCAGGATGGTATTTCCAATAAAAATTGTTCTTTGAGGAACTGAATTGCCTCAGAGTTCTGATTAGAAAACAAACTCCAACACAAAACTCCAAGACAGGTATTTTCTCAAAGTTCCATTTTATTAAAGCTGTCATACTGGCACATCTGGGAAAACCTGAATCTGAGAGTTCTGGGTTTTCCACCAATAATTTAAAATCATAAAATGCATCCCCTGCACCCATCACTCCATTGCATGGCCCAATCACCATCCGTTCCAACTTGAGATATCTCTTAAACCACTCCTCATCCAGGTGCAGGAATAACAAGACCTTGACTGTAAAAGAAGAATGCTATTATGTCTAACTACAACCACTCTACAAAATCCCCCCTCCCAATTTCCCAGGAACAAGAATGTGGCAGTGTGGAAGCTTCTGGTGCTAACATGGCTTCCAAAACTGATACATTCATTTCACTTCTTTCAATTTTATAGCATACCTAATTCTGAAAATAACAGGGAAAATTACAGTGGTGGGGTTCAAATAATTTAACCACTGGTTCTCTGCCCTAATGGCTGGCTGGGTAGGTGTGGCTGGGTGGTCATGTGACTGGGTGGGTGTGGCCAACTCGACATCACTCATCACACCCAGCCCCGCCTCCCAGCCACTCGCCTCAAAGGCAGATTCAGCTGGTTCGGGCTAATCCCACCACCGGCTGGTCCCGCCCCCACCTGTTTTTCAGCCCGTTTTGAAGTCCACAAGTCTTAAAGTTGCCAAGGTTGGATACCCCTGAGCTACATGTTCTGAGAGATCAGTGTTTTTCAAATTTGGCAACTTTTAAGATGTGTAGACCAACTTCCAGAATGCTGTCTGGGCAATTTTGGAAGTCCACATATTTTAGGATTGCAAATTTGAAAAACCCTGTCAAAAATGAGCGAATCAAGATCCTTTTTAGGGATCTGTGCTTTGGTCTCCTTTTAAAAAAAATATTACGGATTATCCTGAGCAGCATATCTATGAAGGAAGAATCTAATAGAAACATGCTTTATACACAGAATACAGAAAAACATCTAAGGATCTCCCCATCTTCATGGATCATAATTTATGAGAAGAAGTTTGCAATGATCTCAACATACTGTAAGTTTTCCTCAGCTCTGCTTGCCTGAATATACAATATCTATGCTCTGTCATTGAGCTGTGATCATTCTGGCCCTAAAAATAGACACAGAGTTATCTCAATCACAAGAATTGTCCTCCATTTTCTTTATTTATAGTATGGGACCCCAAAAATAGGCACAAAGTTCTCCCAATCATAAAACTGTCCTCTGTCTTTGGAATAATCATATAATGAAAAAAAGCTGAGCAGGGGAGATACATGGACAGACATTATTATTGATCCTAGAACTGTTATCACTGGAAAAAAGGGACTTTTACACTGATACTTAAGATTCCTTCCCTACCCAATTGAGTACTTTGGGGGGGGGGTGTCTCTTGGTTTTCCTCCCTCATTTCTTTCCAAAGAGTCTGCTTGTTGTTCCAACTAAATGTGCTAGATTTAAAGCACAACCTGTTTTGCAAAAAGATGTACTGATATGAGGAAAAGATCCAAGTGGGTAGAAGGATTTTTGACCCTTTCAAGTTTATTTTCTCAGAATAGGTTCTAAAACTGGATGTAAGGTTTATTAGTAGAGACGTTGTAATTGGAGCAAAGAAGGAAGCAGGGGGCTTTAGGAAGACAACATTATGGCAATTCAAGTTTTTGATGAAGTTTTCTTGTATTTCTTATTTTCACATCTTGACTTTAAATCAACCCAAACATATTACATTTGTTCAACATAATCTATATATGGGGTATGGGAAATTATGGGAAATTTGATATAATTTTTTTCACAAAGTTTTGTCCAGGTGTTACTGTGCTTAGTAGTGCGATTTTATACTTTTATTCATATGGTTGTGTAATAAACCAAATTCAGAAGGGGGAATGTGCTTTGGGGTAAAGGCTCACTTTGTGTTTGCCAGCAAATGTTTAAAAGATTTGTGCAGTGGGGCAGGAAAAAGCACAATGGATGTGAGGTATTGAAAGGTCTGAGGTGTGTGCCCACAAAAGCTATGAATTCCTCTTCTCCTTTCAAATCCAGATTCTTGTACAGCTTCAAGAGAGGAAATTGACGATTTGAAATCTTCATTTTTGGCCTGTTTTTCGGCCATGTTTCGGGCCGTTTTCTGGCCATTTTCCAGGCTATTTTTCAGCCATTTTCCGGCTGTTTTACACCCAGAAAAGGGCTCAAAAAGGCCTAAAATGGCCCAAAACAGCCCAAAAACAGTCCAAAAGACAGCCAAAATTGAAGATTTGAAATCTTCATTTTTTTCTGCCTGTTTTTCAGACTTTTTCAGGCCATTTTGTGGCCATTTTTTTGAAAACTTCATTTTTCAGCATGTTTTTCGGCAGTTTTCGCACCTTTTTCCAGCCATTTTCAGGCTGTTTTTTTGGTTTTTTTGCTGAAAAAGGACCCAAAGCATCCCAGAAAATGGCTAAAAACAGCCCAAAAACAGAACAAAAACACCCCAAAAACAGCCCAAAAATGGCCAAAATTGAAGATTTGAAATCTTCATTTTTTGGCCTGTTTTTTAGCCATTTTGGGGCCATTTTTTGCCCCAAAAAGGCTCAAAAAACAGGCAGGGGCAGGGCCAGCCAGTGATGGGATTAGCCAGTTCACTGAACTGGACAGAATTTTAACAAATGGTTCACCCGAACCAGTCTGAATCGGCTGAATCCCACCTCTGGAAAATGTTTGATAACCATAAATCTTATTTCACCCAGGAATGCAAATGGAATGAAGGCAAAAGACTTCCCCATTTTGGAATGAGACAACTCATCATGGCCAATTCACTGTGGGACAACTCATTGCAGGACAATTCTATAATTCAATTTAATTATTTAAAGTAATTAAACAATTCTTTTAATTTTTGTCATTTACATTTCATTTTGTCCCACCTTTGCATCCTTTCTTTAATTATTCTATTCCACAATTTCAACATTAGTGTAACTCTTGTCCTGTACTGTGGCGAATTGGCCATGGCGAGTTGTCCTGCAGTGAGTTGGCCACAGCAAATTAGCTGTGGCAAGTTGGCCGTAGCAAGTTGTCCTAGATCTTCTCCATTTTACCCTCCTACCAGTTTTTTTTCAGAACTAAGCAGCATGTGAAGTTGAAGATTCAAACATCAGGGTACTAATCAGTAATGGTCTTCTTGGCCAGGGATTTGTCTAGGCTCTCTTAAAACTTGTATGAATCAGTGCCACAAGCTAATTCTATTTTAAAGTATAAACTAGGGTGTCACCAAGTTATGTTTTTGTGAAGGTCTGAAACATAGTGGCCAGGTTTCCTGATATTCAAAATATTCAGCTATATATTATTGAACTTGGTTACCTGCTCTAAGGACTCCAACATAGGATAACATTTTAATATGTGATTCTATATGTCTGAGGAAAAATGATATAGTGTGTAGCAGTCTTCCCATTATGCAACAACAAAAATGTTGAACTTTTATGTGTGTGTGTGTATGTGTAAATAATTAGGAGTATCACCTGTAATTGTTCTATTTCTGCTCTGTTTAATTTGACGTCAACAAGGTTAGCTGCAATTCCTTGAAAACACAGGAACACCTATTTAAAAAGATGAAAGACTTAAATGATTAGAAATAGATTTTCAACATAGCAAAAATCACTTTTGAATGACAAACTGAGACAAGATGGGGAAATTATCTGTATATATTTCTGCAATAATTATTTAGCCAAATCTATGCTAAATTTATAAGAATATTTGCTTTTATTAGTTTATTTAGAATATATATCTGAATTATAAACTGATATTTTATTGAGCCTCACTGTATTTTGCACATTTTCTATACAAACAATGCATAGAAAAGCTGGACACGTGCATTTGTTACTTAAAAACCCTATAAAATATCAAGGAATGTATCTTTCAACAAATCAGGACAACTTTATTATATTTACAGATCTGTTTCTAAAGTACCTCTGTCAGATAACTTGCTATATTACTTTATTAAATATAAATAGGATTATCTGTGCTGTTAGTTCTACTGCTGTTTGTTGGACTCCGGGTCCTCTTGGATCATTAAGGTGGAATGGAATGACAATAGTGTTAGTTGGTTGGGCTGAATGATTAATATGAGAAAATAACAAACAGGACCCCACCAATCCTTATTCTCCCTTGATAATTTTGAGGCAGTAAATTCTTGCTCAGTTGTTTTCCAGGCTTTAATTGAGTCTTTGAATTTTTGCTCAGTTGTTTTTCAGGTTTTGACTAAGTCTTTGAATTAATATTACTCATAGTCCTTGGCTTACCATAATGGAGCCTTCCCATTACAGTCACAAGTCATGGCAATTGTTAAACAAGGTGTCCACACAATCACCTCACTTAAAAATCCCAATTCTTGCTCTCCCCATTGTGGTTGTAAAGTGACCTTGAGAAGACCCACTTCTTGGGACCCAACAGATAGCATTTTAATTCATGGGACCCAGGTAGGGATAGGGGAGGGGGTGGAGTGGAATGGAATGGAATGGAATGGAATGGAATAGAATGGAATGGAATGGAATAGAATAGAATAGAATAGAATAGAATAGAATAGAATAGAATAGAATAGAATAGAA